AGAGGGATCTAGAAGATAAACTCACATCTGCCATGCGGAGAGATGAAGACGGAAGCGAAAGGACACGACCCAGAAAGGAAGAAAAACCCCATTTTCTCTCCCTTGTGCGGAGTGGGCGAGAGAGAATCTGAGCTTCCAGAACACGGAGGCTCGCGAGGAGAAGAAGCAAAGGGAGAGACTAGAGAGGGAGAGAAGGTGCGAGTCAAGAAAGTATCAATGTATAAGGGCCGCACTATAATTTTTTAAAATTTAAATTCTTAGTATTAAAATTAATGAAAAAGTAAGAATTGAATGATCTTTTTCTTCCTGTACATACAGTTGCGTATACCCGTATATTGAAAATAATGCTTAAGAATCAATGAGGAAGGTGGGTGAAAACAAATTAACAAGCATATCTGACCCTAAATTATACCAATAATTAGTCTGCCATAGCTGTCTTGATCATTGGTTGCTATTCATCAGCAGCCACTCTGATAATTAGCTGATATTCTAAGCCTTATTATTCTCTACTAAATTAATCATAATCAAGTCACAGCACGCTAAGCACATTGCATCAGTCATAATAGTTCATACTAAATTATTCTTTTCTTTTTTTTTGCCAACATAAATTATTCTTGCCTGAGCACAATATATTGTCTTCCACTTGGATCTCTCTCATATCTTCAATGCCACATGACTGAGGTTTAATTTTGCTTGTGTAATAAAATTGGTAACTTGTGTGATGCGGTTTTAAGTTGCATGTGGAAGCAGGGATCTCCACCCTGGCCGATCTGACAGTACAGTTTTAGTCTGCTCGAACTGATGCTAATGTCTGGTTTAGCTTCATACGAAGAAAGATTGTTCATTGTCTTTATTCTCTGTAACCAAAAGGTGCTTCACATCTCTTTAGATCCAATCCACCGCCACTTGGTTTCTCTTTAATCTCTTAATAAATGTCTTCCTCTTCTTCACTCCCGATTTCAGGCATTTTTTTTGTTCTTTGGCAAAAACGTGAGGATGTGCTTGGTCAGAACTTTGAGCGAAAACATGATTTCATTTCCTTTTCTCTACTGCCAGATAAAATCGAAGAATTGTCATTCATCGTCACTGCCAATAAAATAATTATCGGTATAATTACTTTCAAGATGGGCTTCATGTGCTTCTTTTTATCTTTTCTTTGCTATATCTTGAATTATTAGTCCAAACTTTGAAGCTAAGGATTTCTCTTCTTTAAAAAAGATTATTTTTTTAAGACTCTCAAGATAATTGAGATGATTTTAACATATCTAAAAAGGTGGAATGTAAATTTCATTGCAAAATTGGATTGCACGGTACATTTACATGGAGTGAACATGAGTCTCATCATCCTATCTTATTTTATCTGATATTGAGTATTGATGTTCATCATTATAGATTAATTAATTACACTTATCATTTCTAAATAATTCAGTTTATTTAGTTTTTATGCATGAATTTATACATACTGGTATAAAGAAAATTGGAAAAAAGGAACAAAGAACCGGGAAACAAATCATGAATATAATACTCCTCCGATCCTTAATATAGAACCCAATTCTTGAATTGATTTTGATCCTAAATATAAGACCCATTTCTCATATTTATCCATTTTCTCTAAATTATTCCTATAGATACTCCTTAAACCATAATCAAGTAAAAGAGGGAGAGGGGTATTAAGAAAGATGATTATGGTGTTTTAGGAAAAATGTGTCACTTTTCTTATAATTAACTAACTTACCTAACTTCTTTAATCTAATCAAATTAGTTAAATGAGTCTTATACTAAGGACCAGAGGAGTAGTAGTATTTATTAAAATCCAAAATGCTCGAAACATTATACTGTTATTCTCGATTTTTTCAGACAATCTAGTTTTAGATAACGATTCAAGACCAAACCCTCGCATTCGTCGAACGCCACGTGCCAACAATCGCTTCCAGGTCCACGGTTGTCAGCTATCGGGAGCGAGTACCTTTGTTATTCCTATTCGCACCTGTTGCCAGATTTTGCGGTTCAGTAAACGACGCCGTCGGCTGTCATCAACTCGGTCTGAGGCTTTTTAACAGTTTCTCCCTCTTTCTTTTCGAAAGGGTCACACCCTTCACTTGAATTTTCTGTGGCTCCTTCCTGTGATCTCGCTCTCAACATCCATGGCCTTCACTTCATTTGTCGGAAGAGTCCTCTTCGCTTCTCTCTTCATAGCATCTGCCTGGCAAGAGTAAGCCTTCTTCGGTTCTCCTCTTCTCTTCGGTCTCTCTGTTTCCTCTGGTAGCTACTTTGCTTGATTCCTCGGAAAATTGTCGCAAAACGAAGTTTCTTCTTATTATCTTTTTTTAAAAAAAAAACAACTATATCTTGCATGTCAAGTAAATCTAGTTCAACTTTTGGGGTTCGTAGTGTCAGAATTGTGCATAAGTTCTAGAGTAGGATCGCCACTGATCTCCCCCCCCCCCCATTTGCACAACACTGATTCATATGAAGCGAAGGAATCAACACTGACTCTAGGTGTCGGCTGATGTTTGGGATTGGACGGTTGTCGTGTAAATGGTGATTTTTTTCCCCTACCATGTTATGACTATATATTTAAAGCTCGGTTGCTTTATTTGCCAATGGGCGTAGGGTTTCGGTCTTGTTGTTTCAAATCCTTTACTCCGACTTATGCCTGGAGGATGCTGGTGATAAAGTGGAGATTCTCTGACAAAATATTTTCAGAATAATCATACTTAAAGCTTATGCGCTTAAAATTATTTTCCGGGGCACCTTTACTCACTCACTCCAGCACACCTCTTTTCTCCTACACTATTTCACCGAAAGGAACATTTTCTGGTTCTATAGTTTGATTGGGTATATCTCTACATACATAACGAAACCGGGTAAAATAATGTAACATATTATTCAATTTAATAGATGTCATAGAAAATTTATAATAAGAGCTATATTAAAAAAATGAAGTTAAATTAATAATTGAAGATAAGCTTTTTAAATATCATTGTATCCTATACTCTGTAATGTGAGATGACAATTTTGAGAGAACTGTATGGGCAACGCAAGTGTCGAACCTTCTTTTACGCTTTTAGCTCATTTAGGATAATTCCACAGCGAAAGTTATATGCCTCTGTAGTCAATATGCCTAACTTTTAAATTAAAAGCCAAGCATAATTTGTGCTTTTTATACTTGTTGTTTTCTTACATCTTGGTAAAATACTAAAATGTGATGTGCTGTTTTCTGTTGTAACTGACGTGTACTTGAGTTGTTAAGTGGATATGTCCAATTGTATTTGAAACGTTAATGTTTCTTTTCATCATCTGTTTTCATTTCATATAACTTTCATTTATCATATAAAGATCTCCAATCCACTGGGTGTTTTATATTTTCAACCTAGGATGCCCATTGCCCTGTTTAAAACCTACAAGCAATAGACCTTTAAGACACCATTTGTTTGTTTTACCAAGTTAAGGAATAATCATAGTTGTGTTTATGACTCATTATCTTGTTTTGTGTCAAATCATCCTTGGCTTTCTTGAAAAACTCCTCTTCATACTTCGGTTTTTTTTTTTTTTTGTGTGTGGTTATTTTGTTCCTTTTTTCATTTTAATAGGTTCAATGACTTTGGTAAGGATGGTGGACCAGCTGCCCAAGCCTTGGAACCAAAATTTCATGCCTTTTCAAATCATGTCTCAACTCACGCTGGGATTAAGTTGCCTAAAATTGAAGTGAGAATGCATTTACATCTATCAAGCTGAAGTTAAGATGATAGTTGGTTTTTCATTATGGACAAATCCTTATCTTTGCTACTGTTCCCACCAGGTTAAAGATTTAATCTCTGTTTCAATTTTCCTGAAAGGAGTTGGGGGTCCTTTGTTTATCTTTGGCAACTCCCTGGGAGCTTATCTTCTGGTCTGTTGCCTGTTTAACTCATCACCATAACTAATCGATTGGAAGACAAAACCGTGCTCTGATTTTATTTTTTTTTGGGGCAGCTTTTGCATCAAGCAATTTTTACTCCCTTGTTATGTGACTTCTACAACTACGACGTTGAGACAAAAGAATTTACTGAGCATTTCTCAAGTTTACCCAGGTTGGTATCTCAATTTATAACTTGCAATTCTGATCAATGATAACAACTGGTTTTTGTCTATGTTTTCTTATGTTATTTATAAAATGCATTGGAATATTTGCGATGAATAGCTTTTTGCATTGACATGGAAAATGTTTGGCTATAATGGCCTTTATCTAAATTATGAGAGTGAAAATGAAAGATTCACTTGAATGCTATATGTTTTCTAACGGTGAAACGTCATGGGAAATTCAAAAGTTGCATTGAAGGGTTGTCCGTTGATTTTTCTAGAGAAGTTGATAAACTGGCACTGACTCAGTTGAATTAACAACGTTGTTGCATTTGCAGAGTTTAGCATTGTTTGGGGCATTGCTCTTCTATATAGGGATGAGGAATTCAATGCCTAGGCGGCAGCTGAGGAAGAAGGCTCCTAAAGATAAGACTGTTTGAATTAGTTCCTGCCTGAATAGTTTCCTTGTGTCCCAAGACTCAAGTTTTAGTGCCCAAAAGGCCAAAAGAAAAGGGAGGGAAAAAAACTGGGGAATTACTGAACTGAGAAACAATTTTACCACTTCTGTTTCCTCTGTGTATTTTTTTTGTTTTGTCAAATCATAGTGTTCCTTTTATTGATGGTTGTGCATGTATTCTTACCAGCCTTAACTTTCAGGTCCGTTATGTATCTCCCGTTTTATAAATTCCGTGGCATATTGCCTGCCCATCATCACTACATTAATGCATGAATCATTTTGCTAGTTTTAGAGTCTCAAGGTTATGAAACGTTCCTACGTGTGCATCTTTCACCATTAGACCAATGACATTAAGAATTTCAAGATGCACTGATCAATATTTAACGAAAAATCTTCAGTTTCAGTGAAGTTGAGATGAACTCGTTATTGGGTTATATGTTTTCAAAATTTTCAATTCCGTTGTACTTGCTATTTCTAGTTTATGGTCAAATTTGATTTATCTGTTATTAGCTCACGCAACGGAATAGCAGTCTACGAAATATTGATTGGACGACCAAAGTTTGATCCCCATCATCGTTATGATTTGCCTGGTCCAAGTTTCGCATTTCCATCTGATATCCGGTCACGGGGCTCATCAACTTCAAGCCCAGAAAAAACTTCAACAATATACACGGGAGATGGAGTGTGATTATCACATTTAATCCCGTTAGAAAATGACAAATAATCCGATACAATAAATAGTGTGTTTTGTAGAAATAAAAGTATATTTCTTGTTTATTAATTTTGTATGAGAATATTACGATTTTAATAAAACGTTTTTAAATATTAACATATTAAGTTTAATTTTTAAAATAATTATAATTGTTACAAAAATTATTATTTAAAATTAATGATTTTATAATTAAATGATTAAGAATATATTTTTTAAAATTAAGAAAATGAATTAAAATTTTATATAAAATTAAATGATTAAATATATAGTACTCCTCCAGTTCTTAATACAAGATCTAATTGTTAAGTGGATTTTGGTTTTAAATATAAGATTTATTTTTCATATTTATTAATTTTTTTAAATTATTCCGATAGATACTCTCTAAAAAATAATCAAGTAGAAGAAGAAGAGGAAATATTAAAAAAGATGATTATGACATTTTAAAAAAATATATTATATTTCTTATAATTAATTAACTTATCTAATTTTTTTAATCTAATCAAATTAATTGAATAGTTTTTATATTAAGTACTACCTTTGATTCTAATTATAAAAGCTAGTTGATTAATTTGAGAAAATTAAAAAAAAAATTAAGTTAATCATTTGTAATAAATATGTGTTGTTTTTCCTATAATATCCTTACTAATCAAGTGTGTAGGCTAGAACTATCATTACTAGAAGGACTATCTTAAAAAAATATAAATATAAGAGATAAAACAAATTAAAATTTTATAAAATAAAAATAAACGAGATTTTATATCAAGCGCGGAGGTAGCATTTTGTCAAGGCAAGACCGATATACAAGGCACTTTCCCAGTGCGTCAAGTCGTCAACGCGAGCGTGGACCCCACTAGCCTGGCGTAATGCCAGATAATTATAGCGGCGCATGAGCGGGACAAATTACAACGTGTGGCCCATGATGTGCTGGCAATTTCAGTTTCGGCCTCGGTTTCTGATCTGCGCAATTCTTTCTTTCACAAATTTCTCTCCCCATCGGGTGTTTGGGATTTGAAGTCAAATGGATAAGGAAGGTGAACTATTTTATCATGCGTAGTTGCATTTGTGGAATTTAATTCCGGCGGTGATGAGGGCGTATGCTTTTTTTTCCTCAAAAAAATACTCCTCCGATCTTTAAATATAAAACTTATTTAATTAATTCAATTAGATTAAAAAAATTAGGTAAGTTAGTTAATTATAAAAAAATACGATATATTTTTCCTAAAATACTACAATCATCTTTCTTAATACCCCTATTCTTTTTCTACCTGATTATGGGTGAGGAAGTATTCATAAGGATAATTTAGAAAAAACTGATAAATATGATAAGTGAGTTTTATATTTAAGACTAAAATTAACTTAATAATTAGGTTTTATATTAAGAACAGGAAAATTATATTTTATCACAATTATATCATTTTTTTCTTAAGACATTAATTTTTTTAATCCTTGTATTTTGATTTAGTTGTAACCTGATCTTTAAAATTTTATTTCCAAATTTTCATAAAATATATGGAGACAGGGCTTAAAATTATAAGGACTCATTTATAAGAGGATGTTTGGAAACTATAAAAAAATGTTTTTTAAAAATATCTTTTCACAAATTGAAATAAATTTTCTTATTTACTTTGGATATTATAAAAGTATTTTTAAACTCATTATTTTGATTCCATCTAAAAATCTTCCAAACCCGGACCGGATCGGAAGGTTGGACCGGTTGGACCGGCAATCGGACAATACAACGGCTCGGCTTCTATACTTAGACCGCTTGAGGAGTTGGATCGTTTTAAACCGTTCTGAGCCGCCTGTTGAGCCGGGAATCGGAGTTAAGCCGCGACCCGGAGCGGTTTTCAGAGAACCGTCCGGCTGGGAAAAAGAAAGAGAAAGGAGAAGGGAAAAAAGAAAGAAAGAAGAGAAACATAGAAAAATCTAAAGGGGAAAAAAGTGGCTTCTTGATTTTTCTCATTTACCTGATACAGATCAATCGCATGAGATGGATAAAGGATGAAACTGAGGAGGAAAGAAGCAAGCTTGGAGTGTTTTTCTTTTCTTGCCGTCGACCCCAGAGGAAGGCAGTGAACTCGACACAGGGACTCCTTGACGCATCTGAAGAATTTGCTTGAAAAGAAAGGAAGAGTAAAAAGAAATAATAAAAGACTGTTCCCCTATCAGTTCGATACACAAATGCCAGGATTGGGGAAGATGAAAAGTTGTGCATCACGTTTTTCAATACTCATTACTGTACCTGGTTCAGTCTCTAGGATTTTTTTTTTTGAAAAAAACTTGCTAAGCCCATTTTGAAATTTGAAGGTTATCCTTAGGCATGCATCTCCGATCTTTATTTTACTGTAATTAATTGTTTTAAAATCTATATTTTATATTATTTTTATTCAAAATAATTAGCATAAAATCAGACATATATTAGTGTAAGGGAAAATGACAATAAAATACCATTTGAATTTCAAAAAGACAAATAAGGGACTTGAATAAGCAAAATGACAAATAGGGCACTGGGTATCAATCTGGAATTTTGATTTTTGATCTCAAAACATGTTGCAAAACCCATTGACAAAGTAGTAACTCTCATTATGAAAGTTATAAATCCCACTATGTGTTTTGTAAAATTCAGCGTGGAATTGTATTGTTTTTTACAAAAAAGTTGCCTAACCCCTCAAAACAAGTTGCAAAAGCCATTGGCCAAGTAGTAATTCTCATTATGAAAGTTGTAAATCCCACTATGTGTTTGTAAAATTAGGCAAAACTTGCTCGGCCCTTCAAAACAGGTTGCAAAACCCATTGACGAAGTAGTAACTCTCACTATGAAAGTTGTAAATCCCACTATGTGTTTTGTAAAATTCAAAATCAAAATCCCATATTGGTACCTGATGCCTTCTTTGTCATTTTGCTTATTCAGGTCCCTTATTTGTCTTTTTGGAATTCAGAAGGTATTTTATTGTCATTTTCCCTTAGTGTAATTACTGTAATTAACACTGTCATCTTTTATTTTATTTATGATAATTAATATAAAATTAAACATGTAGTGTGTTTAGCATATTATTACTTTCAATCAATATTTCCAAGTTAAAAAAAATAATCTTCCCTGTTGCAGCCCAAAAAATTTGTCACTAATTTTAAATAAAAAACTGAATAAATGAAATTTAAATATTAAATGAGTTAATGGAGCCAAAAACCTTCATTGAAAAAATGTATAAAAATTTTAAAATAGCCACAGCTCATTAGATTAAAATAAAGCCAAGGTTGAACTTGTTAACTTTTTAATAAATTTGACTAATTATGTTAATATTATTATACATGTATAAAATATTATTTTTAATTTAATTATTATATTACCGGTTTGACCAGACGGTTCAACCGATTCAACCGTTTGAACCATGACCCGCTAGCTTTATCGGCTTGACATCCGGTCCGGCTTTTAAAACACTCCTTCTAAGTCAAAATTTATTAGCTGAATTACAGTTGAATCAAGATCGTAGAGATTGTGTATCCCATTAAAATGTAGAGCTATTTTGAAGCGTGGCGGCGTCAGGGAAAGACGCATCACACAGTGCTTTGGCCCCTTCAGCCTCAAAGTCGCCGTCCTCTCTCACATACACTCTCTCTCTCTCTCTCTCTCGCACAAACTTTCTTGTACTCAAGATCTGTTGCAAGGGAGATAATTGAAGTGAGATGTACTGAGTATACCTCTGGAATTTCAGGTGCGTCTCTAATTTGCCTCCTCATCTTGTTGTTTTTCTTCTCTACTTTACTCGTTTTGGTTTCTCTTCAAAAGGGGTTTTTGCTGTTTGGCCTATACTTACAATTTTCTGATCTCAAAAGCAAGAAGGTCCTCTGTTTATACCATGCCCAACTTCTCCTTCTGCTTTAACTTCTTCGATTATGAGTTCTCCAAGCAACAAGATGAGTTCTTCAAGCATGACAACTCAAGATGATGGAGATTGGATAGCTATTCATTTTCGTTTGGCTATGTAACAAAAATCCACTTATTGGTTAATTTGGTAATGCGGGGAGAGATTTTTTTCTTTTGGTAAAATAAATTATTTATGATGAAAGAAAGAACTCTTCTTTCATGGAAGAAAACTAAAACAATTTTGCGAGTCTTTGCAATACTTGTCAAATGAAAAATGTTGTCAAGCCACAAAAAAAAAAAGAGTTTAAAATAACTAGCAGTATTGGTTTTGTTGAAATTAGCATGACTATTACACTATGTTTTAAGAACTAAAAGTACCTGCAGATATAAACAAAAACTTGTTTGATTCATTCATGCTGTATATTATATCTAAGGCACTAGTATAAAGAGAAGCAAAATGGGGATCACACGGAAGTCAGAATCTGAGGACCAAATTGAGCGCAAAGCATTTGATGACACAAAAGCTGGCGTCAAGGGGCTCGTTGATGCCGGAGTCACCAAGATTCCTCCTTTGTTCCGTCATCCTCTTGATCATTCTGAACAACCTTCGAATTTGGGAGACACGAAGCATGTTATTCCTGTTATAGACCTCACGGATGGTGATAAAGTGCCCAGCAAGCGCCAAGAAATTGTTACCAGAGTTAGGGAAGCTTCTGAGACGTGGGGTTTCTTTCAGGTGGTCAACCATGGTATTCCTCTGCATGTTCTTGATGAGATTATAAATGGAGTTCGAATGTTTCATGAGCAAGACTTGGACGTCAAAAAGGAACTATACACACGTGATCTAATGAAACCATTTTTGTATAATAGCAACTTTGATCTTTACAGTTCACCAGCTCTGAATTGGAGAGATACTTTTCGATGTTACATTGCTCCTAATCCTCCAAAACCAGAAGAGCTGCCAGAAGTATGCAGGTATGTGCATCAGCTTTAACTACATATTACCTCGACTCAAACTAGATCTTTTATTTATGACCGGGCAAGGTAGTATGTTGCTGTCTACAATACCTCAACTATATATGCATGAGCCTCTTAACCAGTTCTGAAGCATTATAGATAACAAGATATATATAATTGAAGATTATGAGATTTAGTCACTTTTCTTTTTTCGTTTGTTTCTTGCATCAACCTGCAGAGACATACTATTAGAATACGGGGAATACGTAATGAAATTGGGGACATTGCTATTTGAGTTTTTATCAGAAGCTCTTGGTCTGCACCCCAACCATTTGAAAGACATTGGTTGTGCCGAAGGACTTGCCACTTTTGGCCATTACTATCCTGCTTGTCCTGAACCAAACTCAACTCTGGGAACCTCCAAACACTCTGATAGTGATTTTCTCACAGTACTTCTCCAGGACCATGTTGGCGGCCTTCAGATTCTTTATCAGGACACATGGGTTGATATTCCGCCTGTTCCTGGAGCTCTAGTGGTTAACCTCGGTGATCTTTTGCAGGCAATCTCTCCCCCCCTCTCTCTCACGTTTCTTTGTTTCTTCTCGCAACTTCCGTCATGGACATCGAGCTATAGAAAATATTCTAGTTGCTTAATATTCTTGTGAAGTCAATTAGAAGGAAACCATGCTAGTTTTTACTCTTTTTCTTCTGGGCTCAAGTGGCAATGCATTAGAGTAGCAAAATGGGTATGATATTTGAAATTATGCGTGACAAATGTTGGTGATGGATAGTTTCTTTCTGTTGCAGCTGATAACAAATGACAGATTCAAGAGTGCAGAACATAGAGTATTGGCTAATCTCAAGGGTCCAAGAATATCTGTTGCTAGCTTTTTTAGGGAGAATTCGAAGTCATCACCAAGGTCATATGGACCCTTAAAGGAGCTATTATCTGAAGATAACCCTCCAAAATACAGAGAAACCACTGTTGCAGAGTATGTAAACTTTTACTATGCGAAAGGGCTAGATGGGACCTCAGCTCTGTCACATTTCGAGATTTAAGTCTTTTTTTTTTTTAAAGTCATTTAAACAGATAAAATTAGTGTACCAAATAAAATAAACTATGAAAGGGAAAAAAAAAAAAAAACTGTTGAACTTGGTAAGCTGGTGGCTTTGTTACTTATTAAATACATCTCTGTCTCTGTGAGCACGCGCGCGTGTGAAGTGGCAAAGGAAATAATAACGAAACCCTCCTATTTTTCTGGTTTTAAATATAAGACCCTTGCATTTTGGCATTTTGCCATATAGCAATTTTATGCCCATATAAGCTACTTCTAGTCTCTTGAATATTTACAAGATCAACTACTAGATTTTGTTTGAAGGCCACTCCAATATTTATATACTACTCCGGTCCTAAATACAAGACATTTATACACATGTGAGATGGTTTTGGTTTTTGCATTAGGTGTTCTGGTTGAAGTCTTGCGTTGCAAACTACTTGGTCAAACAAATGTACACAATTGAAGGGTTAATTAAAATCATTAAAATATGCTTTTAGGTTTGCGTAATATTCATAATCAATAGGAGATTGTTATAACACGAGGGAAATTTTAAGCTCACGGTAAATTGCTGGTAGGCTATAACTATTTGAAACAACTCTTGAGAAACTAGTACATAAATTGCTTCTCTTGTATTAAGAATGTCAGAAGAATTATGAGTATATTATCAATTATCATGAAAGAATGTTTGTAATTTCCAATAAATTGAGAATCGCTTTCAGAAAGACAAAAATTGATGATTCATGTGCGTCGAAGCCTCTCTCCATTTTTTTGGGGCCAAACCTTTCTCCATTATTCATTATTTATTATTTTAACAATAATATTATATGACTGGGCTTTGGATGATATTTGTGCGATTCATAATGAAATGAACATGGAAACTTCCAAATTCGTATGCCTAACATATTCCCCACGTTGCTCACAAATTGACCAATGCTACGCTACCTCCACGAGCGGACCCCGGACCTCAAAGCTTCCCTGGGTGAACAAAATGCTTTGTTAAGTTTCTAAGACTCATTTTATAATGTAATTTATATTATAAAATAGTTTTAAACCAGATAAGTATAATATTTTAGTTATTTGTTTTTTTCTAACACATAAAAAGCGAAAAAATTGGAGTTAAATTTTTTATTAAAAAATTAATTGGCCTTGCATTGTTGAAAAATGAACAAGGAAGGAGAGAGAAATTTTTTTTTAATCAAGGGGTCGGGTGGCACCTTGGCTGCCATCACTGGTGGAGAATTGCCGCTGAGAAGATGATGAGATGGAGGGAGAGAGTTTGAGAAGCGACCCTCGTCGCCCGAGCAGCGAATGGGAATGATATACCTATTTTTCTTTCTTTCTTTTTTATTTGTTTATTGATTTTATTTCTTTTTATTTAAGTTAAGTTGCATATGACACTTTAAAGTATTTTTTCAGTAACATCTAATATCATAAATTAATTAATTATAGTGCATTTAGAGTATTTTTTCAGTTAGTGAGTATTAGTAGAAAAATACTTCAAGATACTAAATGGCTAATAGTGTTGTTGCATAAATTTCAGAGTATTTTCTCAATCAATGAGTGCAGCTCCAAAAATACCTTTAGGTATTGGGTGTGATAAAAATTATTCTTCAAGTCCTTAATATAGAACTTAATTATTAAGTTAGTTTTGGTCGTACATATAAGACCCATTTCTTATATTTATTAATTTTCTCTAAATTACTCCTATGGATACTCCCTTAATCATAATCAAGTAGAAGAGGGAGATGGGGTATTAAAAAAGATGATTAAGATGTTTTAGGAAAAACGTGTCACATTTCTTATAATTAACTAACTTACCTAACTTCCTTAATCTAATCAAGTTAGTTAAATGGGTTTTATATTAAGAATCGGAAGAGTAATTAATTTGAGATATAGTTATTACTGAAATTTCAAGACAGCTAAATGAAAAAAAATACAATAAAATGAGGAGGCTGACATGTAAACTATCATACCTAAGGCACTTTTTTTTTTTCAAACTAGAAATTAATAAAACGAGTAGGCTGACATTTAAATTGAAATTATATGAGGTGGAGCTTTCTGTTGGAAAGAGTACTCAAGAATTTCTCTCAGAAAAGATGAATCGTTTTTGACTTCTTGGTGGTTAAATGGAGAGCACACTACTGAGTTATCCTTTCGCCTTGTATATTTGACGACCAAACATCATTTCCAACAAGAACATTCTGTTTATTCCGTATTTTCGAGTTTGACCCTTAACTCAGGCTTTCATCGATCTCTTCACAACTCTCCACCGTACGTTTCACATACCACCATACGTTTCACATATCTCTTTCTCTCACAAACTTCAACGCTCCACCATACGTTTCACATATCTCTTTCTCTCACAAACTTCCTTTCTTTTCTTCATGATCTGTTGTGGTCAAGGAAGATAAGTGAAGTGAAGTCTACTGACTACAACCGCTGGAACTTCAGGTGCGTCTCCAATCTCCCCTCTCATCTTTTTGTTTTTCTCCGATACTCTGCTGCTGTTGGTGTCTCTTCAAAAGGCTCACCTATAATTTCAAGTTTCTGGGCTCAAAACAAGAAGGTTCTCTGTTTGTCCTCGTTTTTATTTTATAAAATTTTAGAACAAGTTCAAATCTCTTTATAAGTAGAGATTGAAGTGTTCAATTAAATTGTACGACAAAATAAATTATTTATGATGAATAATAGAAATAATTCTTTGTTCACGGAAGAAAACAACAATTTTGGGAGTCTTTCTAATACTGATCAGATAAAAAATTTTATCAAGAGCCAAAAGAGAAAAGAGTTCAGAACAATCACTCAGCAGTATTAGTTTGGTTGAAATTAACATGACCAAATTGTAATGTACATTTGAAGAACTAAAAGCACCTATAGATATAAACAAAAACTAGCTTGCTTCATTGATACTGTATCTTGCATCTGAGGCAGGAACTTGTATAAAGAGAAGCAAAATGGGAATCTCACGGAAGTCAGAATCTGTTGACCAAATTGAGCGCAGAGCATTTGATGACACAAAAGCTGGCGTCAAGGGGCTCGTTGATGCAGGAGTCACCAAGATTCCTCCTTTGTTTCATCATCCTCTTGATCAATCTGAACAACCTTCGAAGTTGGGAGACACGAAGCACGTTATTCCTGTTTTAGACCTCACCGATGCTGATAAAGGGCCCAGCGAGCGCCAAGAAATAGTTGAAAGAGTTAGGGAAGCTTCTGAGACGTGGGGCTTCTTTCAGGTGGTCAATCATGGTATTCCTCTGCATGTTCTCGATGAGATTATAGATGGAGTGCGAAGGTTTCATGAGCAAGATTTGGAGGTCAAAAAGGAACTATACACGCGTGATCAAAAGAAACCTTTTGTGTATAATAGCAACTTTGATCTTTACAGTTCACCAGCTTTGAATTGGAGGGATACTTTTCTGTATTGCATTGCTCCTAATCCTCCAAAACCAGAAGAGTTGCCGGAAATATGCAGGTATTTTCATTGGATTTTGCCAAATTAGAGCATATATGATTGAAGAATTCTAGTTTGCAGCATACATGGTTGAAGCTTAAAATATGGGATTTGTTTCTTGCATCTTCTTGCAGAGATATATTACTAGAATATGGAAAACACATTATGAAATTGGGAACATTGTTGTTTGAGTTATTATCAGAAGCTCTCGGCCTAAACCCAAATCACTTGAAAGACTTGGGCTGCGCTGAGGGGCTTTTAGGTCTTGGCCATTACTACCCCGCTTGTCCTGAACCAGACCTCACGTTGGGAACCACTAAGCACTCCGATAATGACTTTCTCACAGTGCTTCTTCAAGACCGCATAGGTGGCCTTCAGGTTCTTTACGAGAACACATGGATTGATATCGCACCAGTACCTGGAGCTCTAGTAGTTAACATTGGTGACCTTTTGCAGGCAAGCTTTCTCTTCTTTTTCATGCGTTTCTGTGTTTTTCTTGCAACTTGATATTTGAATTCACCCATGACATGTGTTGGTAAGGGATAGTTTTCTTCAAGTGCAGCTTATAACAAATGACAAGTTTAAGAGTGTAGAACACAGAGTATTGGCCAATCTTGAGGGTCCAAGAATATCTGTGGCTAGCTTTTTTAGAGATGGTTTGAAGGCATCAACAAAGCCACTTGGACCTATGAAGGAACTGTTATCCGAAGATAACCCTCCGAAATATAGGGAAACCACTGTGGCAGAGTACGTAGCATACTTCCAAGCAAAAGGATTGGATGGGACTTCTGCTCTTCTTCATTTCAGGATTTGAGTTTTGGAATGCGAATAGATCAAATTGGTATATCATAAATTGATAAATTATTGAACTTAGATAAAAAATAAAAAAAAAGTCGTTGAACTTGATGTTGGTGGCTTTGGTGTTTATTAAGTCAGTATTGATGTTAAGTAATGAGAATGAAAAAATACACGGGGTCATTATCAATGAACAAAGTACAAGAACATTTTTAGGGTTTATCAAATATCTCACTTGAGAGATTAACCAACAATCTAAAACTATTTGGGATTATGGAGGGAGACCCAAGTTATCCTCCCACTCATTGGTGAAGATAACACATCCTAAACTCTTTACAACATCGCATTAGACCATTTTATATAGAGCCTATTTCAGTTAGCTAATGATATTATTACCCTTTCTAACATGCCCCCTCAAGTTGAACATCTTTTAATTAAAGTGATCAACTTGCCAAACGAAAAAACAGAAGTGGTATACAAATTTAATGTGAAAATATAACGTGATATCTTCTCTCCACTTGTTGGTTCTCCTCTGGTATGCTTCAATCTGCTTGAGGGAATGGTTTTCAGCTACAGTTACTAACTCACTTGTTGAAGTGCCCCCAAGCATTGACTCATGCTCCTTTCAAATTGAACACATGACTTAAGAGGAATTCAACTTGACAACACAAAGCAGGGAGCTAAAGACAATTAAAACTACATTGATTTTAAACTTTGTGAATAAGACTTGCATGGAGACATCATCCTCTTTGACTTTCACCGATATGCAATTCCACCTTGAGTGGAATAGCTTCAGCCATATCGTTTAACATAATGATGGTAATTGTGACAGTATCATTTTCTTCAATTTAGCTTCATGAACTTTCTTCCTAGTTTCTCTTCACACATTCATCTACTCATGTAATTTTCACGACACTCCTCTTTGTGATTGTAGCCATTTAAATCCAGCTAGAAAACCCCACGTTCTGAAAAAATCCATCTATTACAAGACTTTCTGATCATACCTTGTTGTCTCAAAGCTAGCACAGCTAAATCCATCTTCTGCACTTGACATGAATGGTGGAAGCAGCACCACCCATTGTTAATGCATTCATAGTTGAAGTTGCATAGATTATGCTATGGGACGTGGACCATTCTCCTTCATCTCTTCAAGTGATCTTCACTGCTCATGGACCTTTTTTTTTAATTATTAATGACTTGCAACCTTTAACTAGATAAAGGATAGACAATGGTTTGTACAGCTATCCAGTGTCCATATCTACAAGCTTGTATCAGGTAACAAGACAATTAGAGAAACCCAGAAAATCTTCATATTCTAAGTAGATAAAATAGGCATTTGGCATGAAGAATGAAGCAAAGCTGTGACTAACACAAACACAGCAAATTTCTCAAACACCTTTTGCGCAAGAATCGCAAGTGGGCATGACTGCTTTAACGGACTTGCAACATTCATGGCCTTGTTTCTACAGTCCAACCCATAATTGTCCATATATGCATAAACTTGTTGTGATTGAAAGTTGGGCAACAACGAAACAAGAAAACTAGGGCTTCCAAGCGACAGGTTCAGAGACCTTTCAAAACGGTTCAGCTACTTCTTACAACTTTCATCGTGGACATTGAGCTATAGAACATATTCTAGTTGCATAATATTCTTGTCAAGTCAATTAGAAGGAAACCATACTATTTTTTACTCTTTTTCTTCTTGGCTCAAGTGGCAATGCATTAGAGTAGCAAAATAGGTATGATATTTGAAATTATGCGTGACAAATGTTGGTGATGGATAGTTTCTTTCTGTTGCAGCTGATAACAAATGACAGATTCAAGAGTGCAGAACGTAGAGTATTGCCTAATCTCAAGGGTCCAAGAATATCTGTTGCTAGCTTTTTTAGGGAGAATTTGAAGTCATTACCAAGGTCCTATGGACCCTTAAAAGAGCTATTATCTGAAGATAACTCTCCAAAAGATAGAGAAATTACTGCTGCAGAGTATGTAAACTTTTATTGTGCGAAAGGGCTGGTTGGGACCTTTGTCACATTTCGAGATTTAAGTCATTTAAACCGATAAAATCAGTGTATCAAATAAGATAAACTGTGGGGAAAAAAAAAAAACTATTGAACTTGGTAAGCTGGTGGCTTTGTTACTTATTAAATATTTCTTTTGGTTCTCAATATAAGACTCATTTTATAATAAAAATTACATTACAAAATGAGTCTTATATTTAGAACTAAAAGAGTATATATATATATATATATATATATGAAGTGGCAAAGGAAATAATAACGAACCCACAAAATTTAGTAGTTGATCTTGTAAATATTCAAGAGACTAGAAGTAGCTTATATGGGCATAAAAGTGATATATGGCAAAATGCCAAAATGCCTCAATAACTTGATAATATCACATGTGAGATGGTTTTGGTTTTTGCATAAGGAGTTCTGGTTGGAGTCTTATGTTATAAACTCCTTCGTCAAACTAATGTACACAATTGGAGGGTTAATTAAAATCATTAAAAAAATGCTTTTAGGTTTGCGTAATATTCATAGTCACTAGGAGATTGTTATAACGCGAGGAAATTTTAAGCTCACAGTAAATTGCTGGTAACTACTTGAAACAACTCTTGAGAAACTAGTACATAAATTACTTCTCTTTTATTAAGAATGTGTGGAGAATTATGAGTCTATGATTATGAAAGAATGTTTGTACTCCTTCGATTCTTAATATAGAACTTAATTGTTAAACTAATTTTGATCCTAAATATAAGATATATTTATCATATTTACTAATTTTTTTTAAATTACCTCTATAGATACTCTCTCAACCACAATCAAGTAAATGAAGGAGGAAGGATATCAAGAAAGATAATTATGGCGTTTTGAGAAAAACATATTATATTTCTTATAATTAACTAACTTACCTAACTTCTTTAATCTAATCAAATTAGTTTAAAAGATTTTATATTAAGAATCAGATGAGTAAGTTCCAATAAATTGAGAATCGCTTTCAGAAAAACAAAAATTGATGATTCATGTGCGACGAAGCCTTTCTCCGTTTTTTTGGGGCCAAGCCCTTCTCCATTATTCATTATTTATTATTTTAACAATAATATTATATGACTGGGCTTTGGATGATATTTGAGCGATTCATAATGAAATGAACATGGAAACTTCCAAATTCGTATGCCTAACATATTCCCCACGTTGCTCACAAATTGACCAACATTAGCTACCTGGATGAGTGGACCTCAAAGCTTCCCTGGATGAACAAAATGCTTTGTTAAGTTCTCTAATATATTAGACTCATTTTATAATATAATTTATATTATAAAATAGTCTTAAACCAGAGAAATATACTATTTTAGTTACTTATTTTTTCTACCACATAAAAAAGGGGAAATAAATTGGGAATAAATTTCTTATTACAAAATTAATTGGCCTTGCATTGTTGAAGAATTAACAAGGAAGGAGAGGAAAAAAAAAATCTATCCATGGTTCAGGTGGCACGTGGCTGCCATCACTGGTAGAGAATTGCCGCTAAGAAGATGAGGAGATGAAGGGAGGGAGAGTTTGAGAAGCAACGACCATCCCCCGAGCAGCGAATGGGAATGAAATGCCTACCTTTCTTTTTTTTTTAATTAATTTTATTTCTTTTTATTTATGTTCAGTTGTATATGACACTTTAAAGCATTTTTTAAGTAACATCTAATATCATAAATTAATTAATTACAGTAGTAGGCTGACAAGTAAATTGAAATTATATGAGATGGAGCTTTCTGTTGGACAGAGCACTCAAGAATTTCTCTTGGAAAAGACGGATAGTTTTTGACTTTTTGGTAGTTTAAAGAGCACACACTGCTGAGTTATCCTTTCGATCGCCTTGTATATTTGACCAACAAGAAGATTTTGTTTATTCCGTATTTTCGAGCTTTATGCTTAATTCAGGCTTTCATCGATCTCTTCACAACGCTCCGCCGTACGTTTCACATATCTCTCTCTCACAAACTTCCTTTCTTTTCTTCATGATCTGCTGTGGTCAAGGAAGATAAGTGAAGTGAAGTCTACTGACTACAACCGCTGGAATTTCAGGTGCGTCTCCAATCTCCCCTCTCATCTTTTTTGTTTTTCTCCGATACTCTGCTGCTGTTGGTGTCTCTTCAAAAGGCTCACCTATAATTTCAAGTTTCTGGGCTCAAAACAAGAAGGTTCTCTGTTTGTCCTCGTTTTTATTTTATAAAATTTTAGAACAAGTTCAGAATCTCTCTATAAGTAGACATTGAAGTGTTCAATTAAACTGTATGACAGAATAAATTATTTATGGTGAATAATATAAATAACTCTTTGTTCGTGGAAGAAAACAACGACAATTTTGGGAGTCTTTCTAATACTGATCAGATAAAAAAATTTATTGAGAGCCAAAAGAGAAAAGAGTCCAGAACAATCACTCAGCAGTATTAGTTTGGTTGAAATTAACATGACTAAATTGTAACGTACAATTGAAGAATTAAAAGTGCCTATAGATATAAACAAAAACAGAAAAACTAGCTTGCTTCATTGATGCTGTATCTTGTATCTGAGGCAGGAACTTGTATAAAGAGAAGGAAAATGGGAATCTCGCGGAAGTCAGAATCTGAGGACCAAATTGAGCGCAGAGCATTTGATGACACAAAAGCTGGCGTCAAGGGGCTCGTTGATGCGGGAGTCACCAAGATTCCTCCTTTGTTCCGTCATCCTCTTGATCAATCTGAACAACCTTCGAATTTGGGAGACACGAAGCATGTTATTCCTGTTTTAGACCTCACCGATGCTGATAAAGGGCCCAGCAAGCGCCAAGAAATAGTTGAAAGAGTTAGGGAAGCTTCTGAGACGTGGGGCTTCTTTCAGGTGGTCAATCATGGTATTCCTCTGCACGTTCTCGATGAGATTATAGATGGAGTGCGAAGGTTTCATGAGCAAGATCTGGAGGTCAAAAAGAAAATATACACACGAGATCAAATGAAACCTTTTGTGTATAATAGCAACTTTGATCTTTACAGTTCCCCAGCTTTGAACTGGAGGGATACTTTTATGTATTACATCGCTCCTAATCCTCCAAAACCAGAAGACTTGCCAGACATATGCAGGTATGTTTTCATTGCTTTTAGGCAAACTAGGTCATGTATAATTGAAGAATTATAGTTTGCAACATACATAGTTGAAGCTTAAAATATGGGATTTGAAGTCTTCC